AAAAAAAAACCTGCGATGCATTTCCCGAGTCAATCAAATGGAGGTCGGCTGCTAACTCACTCTGCATAAGCCACCAAGGCAGTATCGTCTGCTTAATTATAAAAGGTTTTTACCAGCCTACCTGCATGCTCTTTGGTCTTCCCTCGTGCCCCAACTTAATTCTTTAATTATGAGGAATTAAGAGTCAGTATTTTCAATAAATGCTGAGAGGAGAGCTGTCCTGTCACGCAGGCCCAGGGAGCGTTAGAGTAGGGATTTATCCAAGGCGCACGGTGGCTGCGGTGTACTCAAATGGGAGCTCCCAGTTTCAGGCCATTAGGCCTCTTCCCTGTCTCCTTTTCCAGCCGGCACTCAGATCGCAAGGCTATCTGTACCTTACTGTGCCATTTACCAATGTGTCTTTTTAGGTACAAAAATACACGCTACCTGCCCGAGACACCAAGTGGGATGTTAACAAGCAGCACTCAGTGCCATTTGTGTATACCTTACACACAAATATAATAATCCAAATGAGAAAAGAATTCAGAAAAAAAAACATTTAATTATAAAAGAGCTTTTTAAATTAAAAAAAAAAAAAAAAGATAATGGCACTAAACCAGAAACAAAGTAATTTAAATGATCATAGCCACGGGGCAGTCCTGTGTAATTTTATGCTGAAACTGTACAGCTGTTCCTATCGTCTGCTCTTTGCTCCTGATTAAAATAACATCTAGAGTTTCAGCAACAAGTAATCTTTTACAGAACTATAAAGTATTATGAACACACAGCTGTATTACATGACAAAAACACGTTTCATTTATTACATTAGATTCATAAATATTTACCTAAGCATTGTACTGTTTTTCTACTCTATTCCTTACATTTAAAGAACAGGAAGTAGGTTTGTTCCACTGACAAAAACGATTTGTCTTACGAATTGCCCATAACGGCACAGTGCAATGCCATGCAGGGGTCCCCAGCAGATGGGGCGTCAAGACCAGTATAGTCACATTGGAACAATATTCCACCCAGTTCTTTACATCCTGCTTTTCAGAATCCTTCAGAGCAATACTTCCTGGCCATATCAACATAGCCTTGACTTTTCAGAGCCAATAAATATTTATGCCTCCAAAACTGTTCGTACGCTGAGCCTAATTTTTCTGTGACCTTTCATTGCTTATATATAACTTTGAGAGTTCCAGTTGTTATTTTGAGAACACCACAGTGTCAGGGCCTGTACCAACACTCAACAGTAAGGCCCTTTTTTTCCATTAGTGGCTTTGATCAAGTCAAAAAAAAATGTAATTCGGGCCTTGACTGGACGTAGACTATTCCCTATGAGGTCAATATAACTCTGTATGTGCACTGAAAGAAAATACTTAGCTCCAAGGGTACAATTTCACAGTTGTTATTTCTGGAAGTCAGCATGCAGGTGTGAGCATTTAAGTGTGGGTGAGCTAGTTTACAAACAAACTGTAAAGCGTTACACAAGTTAGTGTGCTCAAAGTATTGCTGCGGGGCTAGGTCTCTGAAGCTACAGTCCACAGCACTTTGCGCTGCAATAAGTCATGTCAGTCTGTAATTCATTACCAGTGAGTTCTGTGGGGAACTTTCAGTCCTTCTCTGCAAAGGGAAGGATTTGCAGTAGTTCGCTGAGGGACCACTCATTTTTAAGTGGTTTAGATGGCATCCACCAGCCTAAGGGAAATCAGAATTTGATTTCTAGCTTGTCCAGGATGGGCCAGAGATATCAGGTATAAAGCTAATGCTAATCAGGTTGAGATATTATCCAAAAAGCATGGGTAAACTCCACAGTAGACCCTTACATTTATTTTCAGTGAAAGATTTGGTAGCTATGAAATTCAGGGTACAGTTTCTCTCCACAGTTGTTTTACTCATCCTGACAGTTTGTATTCTGCTAATAAATGGCAGTTTTTGGCAGTTCACAGAATGCTTTGCAGTCTATGAGATGTTCAAGAAAACTGAAACCAGTGTATGCAGCATGGCTGCATATAATTGCTGAAAAAATAAAGGTCTTTCTAGTGGATGATAATATTCCAGAAAGGACCTTGCCAAGAGTGGTGAGCTTTACAAATGACTCACCTTGTCATATTGTCCTATTAAAAAAAGAAAAAAGCCTCAAGAATACAATCAAACAACTAGAATAAGAATAAAAAAATATATTAAAAAGATCTAGCAAAAGAGCTGTATAGAAAGTGTTTTCACAGTTGTCTTTAAATAGTTTTCATCAGATTTTACCTAAAGTGAAAAAATAGGACTTCCAAAGACAAAGACAGGATGTATTGCATTGCAGTTGTTTCCTGTGAATTTCACACTTGGGAAATTCATGTGGCTGGTTTTAAGTATTTCTAATGCTGTACCATTCAGAAGTGCTGATCAGAATTTGGTTCTCCAACGTGCTAACTCTGCAAAAACCTGTATGAACACACACTTCTATGCAAACAGACTGCAGATCTCTAATATAAAAAGGTTAAACATCTTTTTAAAAAATAAATTCTTCTGAAACAAGATCTGGATGGGAGTATCGTTAAGGTAGATTAGGTCCACTAAAATATTTTTAACTTAGTCTCATTCCAAATACGAGTGGGAAAACTGCTTTCTCCAATGTTTTGCTGTAAGTAAAAGTGAAAATTTACTGATAATCACTGTTGCATTTCCTTTTTTTTTTTTTAAACGAGATAAGATTCTATTAATTTATATACAATACAGTTGAATGGTGAAAGGACACACTATCCCTTTGAAGCATTCAGCATTACGAAGCAAGTCCACAGGTTGTTCTTTTGCCATCTATTGTGAGCTTAGCTATTCTTAGATTTTATAACCCATTCAGCATTTGGGTTGAGCTGGTACAGGTCCTTCATGTAGGTATCATCATCAAGGCAGCGTTCTCCTAGTAAAAAGAGATGTGTGGTTGCATTAGTACCATAAATAAATAAATAGACTTTCAAAATTCCTGTCACTCTTCTATTCCATTTAGGTTTCCTGCCCTCTCTATGGTGTTTTTAAAAGAATACAGCTATCATCTAAAAGCAATCTGTTATCCTTCCCTTCTGGCTTGGAGAAGAAGGATAGAGGTAGAAAGGGAGGGAGAGAAAGAGCTGTATTTGGGGAAGTTGTTTCGTTTCTATGGCTCATTCTAGGTCAGATTCTTCACACAATGAGCCTGGGAGCTCCCCTGAGTGCACAGTTTAGGAAAAGAGGAGCAATGCCTTGGTCTTCTTGGGGTTAAATCCAAATGCTAGGTACACATTTGAGCTGAAGCCTATTAAAATTTCCAGTTACTCTCCCTTAGATGGAAAGTTCAAGCAGGGTTTGTCCTTGCTAAAGAGCCATCACTTGCTATCCTGCTCCCCTTGGATAGGAGCTCCTGTTTTACACTTGTAATGGTTATGGTCATAGAAGGGAAGAAGCAATACACTACTTTTGGTGTATTACAAAAAAACTGATTTATGTCTAACAGCTATTATGAAAACGTATGCTGATCCATCATTCTCTCACACGCAGAGCCTCATCTCACCATTTCCAGCTCTGCATCACAGCGCCTCTCTTACTCCACCATGCAAGTGTCAGGGTAGATGGCTGGTGGCCCCTTTAATGGGGGCTTTAAGGGACTGGTGGGCCCCTTTAATCAGCCAGCCAGAAGTTCCTAGACCATGCATGTGCTCCTGAAGCGGGAGACAAGCAGAAGCGCCCTGCTACAGTCAGACCGTCTGCAAGATGTCTGGACTCCCTGCTCAACCATGCCTAGTCTCTCTCTGCTGCGTTTCTCTCCATCCCTTCTCAACAGTTTGCGGCCTGTTTTCCCTTCAGGCTTTTTATCACAATCTACGTGACATGTACTACCCATGCTCCTGAACTAGGCTTACTTGCCCACACTGTTCAGCAGTGTGGCAGTGAGAGCATAGGGACAGTGGCTTCTCATTTCCATGTCCAGTGCTGGTCATGAAGCAACGGCAGAAGTCCTGTTCAATGTCCTAAAGCCCTATAGCGTACTCAGTACGGAAAAAAATGTCTTGACACTTCAGCAACTCTGTTAGGAGACGGGATTACAGGATTGCTCATGATGCAATTATGAGCCTAAGTATAAGGATATGAATATATTATGAGCCTGTTGAGTCTTCCCTCTTTTGGGTTCCCTTTTCATGAGTCAGTCACATCAGGCTGAATGTCAAAGTCAGTAGCAGAAAAGCTAGAAACAGCAAAGATCAGAATACATAGTTTACCTAAACCTACACAGCAGGTTAAAGTGAGGGAGTAGCTCTATATCCTTATCTTAAGAATATTTGCCAAGTTAATTAGGACTAGTGTTTGTAAGGGCTGATTAAAGCTGAGATTCTCTAGTAATAAACCATTCAGATAGAGGAGGCTTCTAAGCATTCTATCCTATTGCATAACAATTAGAAAATATATCTGCTGCTAGCCACATCTGTGCTCTAAGAGACACACACATTTTCTGTCATGTTTTATGTAATACTAGCTTGTTCCAGTTTCACACTCTACTTCTATTAGAGACTTTTCTTCTACAATGCTAACACCTCTGTACAATAAACACAATACTCCCCTCCTGTAAAAAAGTCATACAAGTCTGGAAACACAAACTGCTTTAACAGGCATGACAAAAGTACATACATATTGGATATGCAAGAAAACAGGCAATATATTAATCCGGCATCCAAATATTTTAGTAATCTTTTTTTTTTTTTTGCCTTCAGACTTACTAAAAAAATCGAAAAAAAATTTGTAACAGAGAAAATACGAAAGTGTTATTTCAGTTCAAGTCTTCTGTTGAGATACAAAAACATTTAAATTCATTTAAAGTAGTGACCAGATACAGGGAAAAGTGCCAAAAGTAGCAATTACATAGAGGATTAAAATTTGCAGTGTGCAGAAGTACTGAGTCTTCACGGAATTTTATAGCTTCAGGTAAATTTTAATAGTCTACAATTAGTAGGGAAAAAGTAAATGTAAATGCAATACAATACTGTTTTCTAGCTTTGTGGGTTTTTTTAATTTGCTCAACACATGAAAGAAACTGTGACTGGAAACTGATTCCTAATGCAAAAATACTTTTGCATTCATTAAACAAAATTTCAGAACTGCATTCAAAACAATGCTTTGGCGTTAACTTTACTGATCTACTCTTCATTTTAATCAACGGTTACACAGAGCAAGAAAGAGGAACAGTTGGAAAATTTAATCTCTAGAAGATTAGCTTCTTCCCATTTTAGCAGTGACTTCCCCATAGGAACTTATATGAAACACTCAAATGCAGAGCACGAAGGGCTGTAAGTTCATTCATTATGCCTCAGTTCAAAGAGATGAAAAAGATGAACTTCAAGCACCTTCCTATCCAGCCTTTCTATGGTTCTTTCTATGGACTGTACATACGTATCAGGATCACCTTTAACAACTGCTGTCTTCCCCTAGCAGAGATAGTAAGATATTACTAACATGATGATCACACCAGCTTCTCTGCTTCTCTCTCCCTAAGGTTAACCTTCTGTATTGGTGCCAGGGTGAACTAGGGCCATGAATAAAAATGGTTTTACCCCAAAAAATTGGCTGGCAGGAAAATACATGTCAGGGAAACATAAAGCCCATCATCACATCTGTATTTTAAACATTTCTCTCCCATTCAAATATTTGCCAATTACCTAGAAAAAACCCCAATATTCAGAAGCACCTCTCCTCACCTTTGGCTGGATAGGAATAGAGGAAAAGCTCCACTACGTGAATCCAGCTTTACCACAGCCAGCTAACTATAAATAGAAATATTTAGAAGAAGGAGGACAAAAGAACGGAGCAGATTTAAGCTTTAGACATTGCTCCAAAGAGCTCAGGCCAGCAGATTAAAAAAAATAAAAGTGCTAAGTAAATAAATTTCCTGGTTATATGCAGTCCTGCTCCTTCCATAGTGGCAATCTTTATCTCTGTCAGTTGGCTCTGGACAAATACGCTGACACGTGAGCCAGAGCACCCTCTTGTTTCATTATAATCTTTAAGGGGCAAATTCCTCTCCTACTTACATCAGCATGCAACCACAGGGAAGTCTACAGAAAAAATGCCAAGAAATCCAATTCTAACAAAAGAAGTTGTTCAGAAGCCATTCTTACCAATATTTCCTCCTATTTCATACAGAAAGACCTCTTCTTTCTTGAGTGTTTGGACACTTCCACTGTCAGGAACAAAACAAAATTATTAACTATACTGCCAAAGAGCTTGTACACCAGCCATTGAACCATGTCGAGGAGAAGCGCTAGTTAAAGTCAGCAGTGTACCAAGGTATCTCTTCATGTTTTTACTCATTTACTGATACAATAAGTGAATAAGAACACCTTGCATGCTAGTGCAAGTGAACAATAAATTACACAGAAGGTAAAATAAGACAGACGTGAAGACACTGAGGTTTCCATAAGATAATTTAATCTTTGTTAGCAAGTAGCCTGATATTTACCCTCTAATTTTCTTTCATTGTTGCTGCAAAAATAAGTACTCCCCTGACACACTTCATATTTCTGAAACAGCCTCATAGTTAGGTAGGGGAAAACACGTTATTGCAACTAAAAGAAGGAGAAATCAGACAACGGAAGAATAAATCCCCCAACTGCAAAAGGATTTTATTTTTCTCACTGCTTAACTGTAGACATACATGCTAAAGTGCGGCCAGAAAATAACTTTTTGTCATAAGCTTAAGCCCCTGGAAAGAGCATTTAGGAAGAAGCAGCTTCTTAATCTCAACTAGAGTGCCACGTTAGCACATTAGCGCAAACAGTTATATGAAAATGTTACGACGCACATATGCTTGTGTAAAACGTTATTCTGTACTAGATCTATTCTGATTTCTTATTCTGCTCATATATATAAATAAATAGATATTATACACAGATAGGCAGATGTAAAGACTTCACTAAATTTTCTCCCTTTCTCAGTGGATTTGGATGACTCAAACGTAGCTTTCCTTTTAAATCGCTGCACATGCACGACATTTTCTCATATTTATATTCCACTAGACTGCTGTTTTATATAAGTGCAATTTTTACCGAATATTTTCTTTCTCTTTTCTTCATTCATTTGATTCTTAAGACTTATTTTCTTGGAGTTGCCCTCTAACTTCTTCCTGGAAAGTTACAAAGTATTCCTGGCCCAACCGACTAAACAGCAATTCATGGTCGTCTTAGGCCGCTCGCATGTTCCTGAAGGCCTCGTTAGCTTTAGAAGCATTAGAAACACTAATTCCTCAGGCGTGTATTCCAACAGGCTAAATTCAGCCCAAAAGTTCAGTGACCTCACCTCGATTCCGACTATTTTAAAACTTCTTTCTTGATATAACACAGAAAAAGCCACTTAACCTGAAATGTTAACAAAACAAAAATGTGTTTGTACCTTTTCTGGCTGAGAAACCTGGCTACTATATCACTGGCTTTCAGTTCTTCTGTCAGCTGTATTGCCATGGAAACTTTCGAAAGATGAGGCGCTTGCACCCGTATCACTCCCTCAGGAACATCAGCCTGCAAAGCAATAATGATATTGGAACAAAGCTGCGAGCAGCTGGCTTTCGTGAGTTTCTCAAAATACAGTATGGAATAAGTAACTTAGCACAACGCTCTGTAAGTACGCTTAACTACTGTCTACTTCACCGCAGAAATATCATAACTATGCAGTAATTTAGTAAATTACATCAGACCTTCAAACCTCTTTTCAATGGTAGGAAGAGCTTCAGAACGAAAGAACAGTAGTGTTTAATTATTTCTGAAAGATGTTAAGAGTAACAATAATGATTACTGTTATATTAAGAACCCATTGTGGTATGATACGAAGCACATGAGACTGATATGGAAAGGACTTGCTGTAGGCATGAAAGCCAGGCAGCCCACCCACCTGCCCTCCCCCATTCTCAGAAGGAGCCTTTCCAGTTTCACTTCACCTGAATTTGATACCAAAAAGGAATCACAACATACTCATGGGTCAGTCTAGTTTAAGTGATTCCTCTTTTCAAATACCATATCCTTTTAAAACACAGATATTCACTAGCGCAGCTTTTCCTTCCCATTTCTTATTCTCTAGAATATATTCAGCTAGTCAACCTGCAGCTCTGACTACATGATAGCTTTGTATTTTATTTCAACCCAGAAACCCATGAGGATGACTATCAGTTATATTAGTTATAGAGAAGGAGGGCTCCAAAGGGCTCCACACTGTTTTTGTGTTCAACTTGCAGTACATGACATTTGAAGTTGCAAAAGGCACAATTTATTTGTGAATAAGGTCCTAATTTCTGTTCCTGAAAATCTTAAGATAATTTATCTATTCATATTACACTACCATTTACCCAGATGTAGTCATTTTGATAGGAAAAGAAATGTAAAAATACCAGTAGTCACGGTTGATTATGACAGTTCATTCTCCCTCCCCCCGCCCCAATTTACTGCAACTGTAAAGCTGAACATTCATTCTTCCACAATCAATGGACAAATCTGGGCACCAGTAAATGTAGAATAGCTCCTCTGAAACCATTCACGTTAAACTAACACAGAACAAGTATAAATGCGATCAGAATCAGAAGCACAGTTTCCTGAGGAAACTAAAGTCTCATTATTACATAAATGTGATGCGCCACGGCAAATAATTTTAATCAAGTAACCCTTCTACAACCGATCTTTTAATATATTGATTGTTAAAAAGCTTCCTGCCTTGAGTATATGAGAGAAGGAACAAGAAATGTCCATAAAGCTATAACATTACGGTCACAGATCAAACAGAATGATTATTTTGTATCTAGGGGAAACCAGCTCACCTAATGAATGTATTTGGCCACTTTCACCACTTCTGTTTACGGAAGAACTCATGCTCAGCTGCGCAATATGTTCATGGTGCCTAACTAAAGAGAGATCAGATATTGAGCACGTTTCTCAGTGCAGTTTGGTGGGAAGGAAAAAGTGACCATAAACTCTAGGAGCAGTGTCACAGCAGGAACTAGCCTCTGCCCAGCAGAGTTCAAAAACATCCAAGTTAGGATTCCACGTTACAGTGTATAAGCCAAATACCTAGAAGGTGATTGACAGCATGCTGAAGGGTGGGTGACCTACCCTGGTCAGTAAAACATGACTTAAGACTCCTGTCTCACAGGCATTCTCCGGATGAGGCTTACAACACTGAAACTCTGGCAGAGTTAGGTACTTACACAAGATTTAGAGACGTCAAGAGAAGTATGTCCTTATCAGCTGGCGCCAAAATATACTGGCATAGCACCTGCATTCACCTATGAGGTACTCATCTTGTTTCAAACCCTTTCTTTTCAGAGAGACTTGAATTTTTATATTATGAAAGAACCATAGCTGTTTGGCTATAGGATCTAGAGTGGGTCTCGTATAGATTCTCCTGTTCGTTTTGCATGACACACTTAAATATTCCTCAGGCTAGAGGAAGAGAGGAGCTAAATGACTAGCCAGTATTTTCACTGGTGACTCAGATGATAGACTAGAACATACACTTACTAAATGTGCAAATGATACCAAGCAGAAACAGGGCGTAAGCATTTTGAAGAACAGAACTGGAATTCAAAACAATCTTGATAAATGGGAGATGAAGTCTGAAAGTGCGATACAGTTCAAAGAGAACAACTGCAAAACGTTGCATCTAGTTTGGAAGAATCAGCTATACAACTATGTAAAGAGAAACTATTTAGCAGGCAGCACTTCTTTAGCAAATAATCTCAGATTACAGTGGATCACAAATTTAGCAAAAGTCAGAAATGTTATACTGTGAAAAAGCAAACAGGTTTTATAAACAGAATAGCTAGATGCTATTGTGGTTATTCTACCCTGTATGAGATATATCCAGTAGTATTGTGCTGTGCCACTAACAAGATTCCTCCTTTCTGTGGAACAATTGCCACAGAGAGAAGAATGAATTGACGGATGGTGCAAATCTGGCTACGATAGCTGAAAAATTCCCGGTCGCGATAACACCTTTCTTTGCGTGACTAGGACACGCTGCACCCCAAGAGAAACATAAAGACTTAATCCCTAACACAAACCTGGGCCACAGAGTTGTATGCACTGATACTTGGAAAAGTGGTTAACACTCAAGAGCGTTCTAATATTAACCACTCTCAGCACTGTACAGAGATCTTGCCCCAAGTCTCCTCCCCTTCCCCAGGAAATGCTATTTAATCTGTCTTAAAAGGGGAAATATGATTGATAGAAAGGTCTCACCAGAGGTGAGATGAAATTTTATCGTTTATGTCGATTACCAAAAGATCTGACTGCTATTTAGAGTGCAGATTTTGAGATATTTCTGAAGATTATGAAAGTGACCCAAGCCTTGTCCAACTACATTTAATCATGTCCTATGGCACAGTTTGGTGTAGGAAATCGCTACTTGTACTTAGTTTTTATTCAGTTGCAAGCAAGATAATGAAATCTCAAAAGTTTCAAATAGTTTTCACTGGAGTGGTGATTCACCACAAGTGTTGGTGCATCCCTTGCTGTTTAATAATGGAAAGGAAAGCAGGTCAGGAACTGCACATTTAAATGGCCTCAATTTAAAATTAAGGCAACACAAACTGCAAATTGAAAAAACAAATTTTCAAGTATGTCCTGGACTAGTTCCATAAAGAACTGGGACAACTTTAGCTGCTTGGAAACATATTTAAAACAATCATTTATGATGAAGCCATAATCATATTTGGGAATATGATTTTAAGAGTAGTATGTTCTCAGGCACCTAAATTATGGAATGCTTTAAATAAGCATGAAAGGACTTGTGAAAAATACTGCCTTTAAATTTTTTCAGAAAATCTCTTGAGATTTCTAAGGCTTAAAGAAAGTTCTTCAATACTAACTTTACATTTGGGTAAGAATGTATTACTTGAGACTTCAGTTTTAATTCTCTGGTGGATTAAAAAGGCATATTTTACTCTAAAAGACTAAACTGAATTACAAAAAAATAAAAATAAAATTTTAAGTTACAACATCATTTGCCTATTTCAGTGTATTCTGCTGTTATTTGTACATTGAACAGGTGATGGCAGCATTCTTTTAAGTGTCAGCTCACCATAACTCAGCTGAACTGTTTGCAAGGAATCCTCTTACTAGAGAGTATAAAATACGTCAGTGTTAATTAGCTTTATTTTACAATTTTAGATAAGTTCTGATTCTGTGTATGGATTACTTTAACTATATTCATAAAGACAGATATGAAAGTAAGGCAAAGTGATGCCTGAGGAATTAATCCATATTCAACACTTAGAAACGTGTCAAATACTGCACAGAAAATGAGTTAGGAACACTGAAAAATACGGCTGTGGCAGATATTGGATGCAGTGGTCTGAAGGATCCAGCTTTTTGCACACTCCAGCACTAAACTTTTTTTGAAATGGTAGAGATACAATTCTGCACTAGCCATCTAAAATACTGTTTTCAAAACACTGGAAATAGACAGTACTGTAAGAGGCTGCGACCTAAATAATCACCTCTTAACCTTGTTCTTTTGCAAAGAGTGTCGCATCATGAACATTCTGCACCAGGAACATTCTTCACTAGGTATTTTTATGGTTACTGTGTAGAAAGATTTTTAAATATGCAAATGTAACAAGTTACAAAATATATTTCTAGCTTACAAATCACTGGTCCCTCAAGCATATACAGTCTTTTTTTTTTTAATCTTTTTTTTTTAATTCTGATGTGAAATTGGCACATAAGCAATACCATCAAGTTATATATATTTTAAAGGTGGATTTGATACCTACTTTAAAAACACGCGGTAAAAAAAACGATTTTGTTATAAAAAAAAAAAAAAAAAAAAAAAAAAAAAAAAAGGGAAACTTGCAAGAGCAAGCCAAGCAGGCTTGTGAAACGTATTCATAGCCCTATTCTAATTTCTGGCTTAACAGCTTTAACAGTTTCCTAGACATATACAAAAAATACAGCTCAGGCCAAGTGCATTTTTACAAGCTACCACAAGATGTCTCTAACTCACTGGAATCTTGAATATGACTTCAAGCCACAAAATTATATATTTTTACATCATTTAGATCTGATTTCTGTTCATTATGTTATGAGGATTTATATATATTTGGTGTTACTTGTTTACGTATTTAACGCAACTTTGTGTGTATGTCAGATGTATTATAATGCAGAAAGGAAGAATGACTATAAGAAACTGCACTGCATAGGCCAATAAGCTAAAAAATATTTGCAATTATAAACTTAAATAGAAATTACAAATACTAAGTAATTGCTAGGTACATGAGATACTTTTCCGAAAAGTTTCCATAGCAGGGGAAGTAGTTCAATTAAAGAATTCCTAAGGCACAGGAAAAATGTGCACTAAAATGCCACAGGACATTTGTTTTCTTTTTAAAGAATGTGTGAAGAATGTTTGTTACACTGAAACATCTTCCTAGCCATCACTGAGGGGTCTGGTAGAAGTCCATTACTTTACAAAGAGATACTGAACTGTAGTTTGTATTTAGAAGGATAACGTGGGAGTGGACACGCGGATAGTAGCTGCATAATAAGTGAATTTATCAGGTTTTGAATGTTACATCTTCATGTGTCTATGCATGCTCCGGCATGCTCCTCTTTACAAGTAATGCTTAAAGGTTCACTGAGGCAGAGTTCAGTGCTTGGGGGACTCCTGTAAGAGGAGGGAAGCTTAAATACAAGCTTTGTTTCTAATAACTATTAAATATCAAATATTGACATCCAACAGTAAGTAAACACAGAGTATTGGGAATTTCATGGGGCAGCAATGCACTCAAACCTAGCTACGACAATTCTGAATGTCGTCACAACATTTGTCCCCTGTGCAAATACAGAATTTCGTGTACTTTTGTTTCAGATGCCCAAACTGAAACTACCTGCGGGATATCATTTTTCAGAATACAGGTATTTTGCAACATCTGTACAAAAAAATGAAAGAAAAATAAAAATCAACCAGCTAACCCACCCTCAAAGATGTGTCTTGCTAGGAACCTGTAAGCTATGTTAAGCAATGCTAATTTACTACTTATTGAAATTCTCAGTCAAACAAATGTTAAACAAATCCTCTCAGCTCTATCTCCACAGCTATATCCATTGTTTTCAATAGACATGAGAGTCTTATTAATGAAGTATTCATCAGGTATATCTTTCCTTACATCATTAGAGGTCTTGTCTTGTTTCTCATGCTTTTCCCGGTCATAAGCCATCTTTTTCAGAAGTTTCTTCATAGCTTTGTCCTTCTTCTCCTTCTTCTGGCTTTCAGCGTTTTGTTTTCTCACTTGGTTAACGATAAACTTAGGAATCTAGATGAATATAGACAGTAAGTATGAATATCTACATCGTTTCCTTAACTACCAGAACTTTGTAAATTGACAGATTTGTTGGGTAGAACTGGAAAAAAATAGTATTTCCTGTAATAATTAAAGATTCAAATAATATAAGCCTATGAAAATATTTTAGAAAAGCTGCACTTGTGACGTTACAGTCTATCCAGTAAGCTCTCAATGGAATAGAGGCAGAATCGAGTCTTTATGCAGTGTTTTTACCTTCCTCAGCCAAACACATTCATTCAACACAGTCTGTGTGATGGTGATAACAATCCTTCCATGCAAAGGTCAGGATTGTTTAAAGTCGCTGATGGACAACAAAGCCTGAAGTTCTCCAGCCTGTGTGAGAGCCTGCTTGAGGCCACGACTCAACTCCTTGTTTTATCAAAATATATTCTAGCATTTCTTATATAATATAAAGTTTAGCCCCAAAGAGAAATGGACTAAAGCAGCACATCTCCTGTAATGTAAGAGACAAAGATCTCCAAACAGAAAAGAATAAATTCCTCGTAAGAATGATACTGATAGGCCAATCACAAGCATCCCCCAAGGACTTATTTCTGAGTTCACATATTGTATATACAATATTAACACTCTAACCACCAGTGCTTAATTCTATCATAACATATAATGATTTTATTTCACTCCCTTAAGAGTTATCTGTGAGGAAAAACTCGGTAGGATGAGGCTGATCCTTCTCTACTTCATGGAAATAAGTTCACAGTTCACCTCATTTCTTTGTTCAGATTCCTTGTTTGCGAGGTTTATGATTTTTTTTCCACTAGAGAATACTTACTGTCCAGAGAAGTTTTTGGTACTGAATCATGAAGTGCATGACGTTTGCTGTTCCAGCTGCCATAACAAACTGGCTTTGTTCAATAGCCTTTGAGCCAAACCCACGAAACGTGAAAAGGTTTGGGGCCATCACCATTGCAACATTCTTTAGCGTCATTTTATTTTTATCTCGATGATCAATTACTCTCTGGAGGAATTCAAGCAGTACCTGAAATAAGAGCAGAATTTGAACCTTATCTCTACACATGAAAAAGTCAGAGTGAAACATTGTATTACATAACCTTGACAAAGGCTCTTTATTCCTAATAAGACTAGATTAAAAGCAATCAATAAGAGGAAGTATGGATATATTTATTCCTAATAAGACTGTAATGCAAGTTTTCTTTCCTTTAACTAATGAAGTAAATCATTCTAGCTGTTTTTGTGGATAACACTTTCAAAAGCACTGAAGTGACTTTGAAGCCCTGCACAGTAAGACTTTCAAAACACTTGTTATTTAGGAGCATAGGTAGGCATCCCAAAGATGCTTTTGAAAACATCACTGTTGGCTTTTCTTAAATTAAAAGTGAACACAATAATGCCAACTGTCATGGTCTCCATGTGGCTAGTTCAGCCATGTATGCAGGTCATGTAAACCACTGCACTGTGAATGACAGGTAGGCCGTTAAAAACCGTCAGTCTTCAACTAATTCACTTCCAGATATTGATAACTCAACTGCAGGAGCCCTCCTGACTACTTCCACGCAGTAAATACATTTAAAAAGGAAGGCATGTGTAAATAATAAGAACTAATGGGATTTTTGCCCAGAATAGAAAGCATCCAAGATATTCTACATCCTACACAAATCCAGCAAATTTATTTTTATTTGGAGCAACTTTAATAGTAAGCACGTCCTGAAAAAAGATGAATAGCTTTGCTACAAGAGGACAAGCCCAGACTGGAAGATTCCATGTAACGTGCTGCAAATATCCAGAGGAAGTGTACATTTCTAGCTTACTAAGAGTTGAAACAAACAGCACACACAAAAGCTGGGAATAAAAACAAAGAGCTAAACCTATTTGTTAAAAGCCAAGTCTCTAATACAGTATTCTAATACTGCTTCTTTTTCTATCTAAATAATCAGTGACTGCTCCTGCAAAGAAGGAAATAAACTTGTAATAGAAGAGGTCGCTCCCTGAGAGATTATTATTGCAATCTCTTGGAAAAATTTCAAGCTCCCCTCTTAAGACTCATTTGGATGTTTGGAATTAAGCTCCTAAATCATTTTTTTCTGAAGTTCTGTGAAATAAGAAAAAAAAAAATCACAAGTTTCAACATTAACTTTGAACTGAAAAAAGGCAAATCAAAATACTTCACATATCAGTTAAAATGTTAAAAAACAATAGCATTCATTACAGTGGATTCACAAGAAATCAACACAATTCTCTTATTCCAAAAGGAAAAAAATATCAGCAATTCTAACCTTCAGTGTGTCTCTGTTTGCTTCAGGTAGAAGGAGAACCAAAAGATTCAGAGCTTGTAGCTGCTGATTCCTCGTTGGAAGATCTGCCAGTGAAGCACATCAACCTCAATATTTTAAAATTGTCACTTATCCTCTTGAAAAAACATGATTTTTAAGTGGAATCCTCTTGTAAAATGCTGAGTGCATACACAAAGCTAATCATCATTGTATGAAAAAGGACTGCAGATCCTTCTCTTCTGATACTCATTTTCAAATGTTCCAAATGTTTATGATTCAGTTGCTATATGACTCAGCAGTCTTCTGGCAATATTTTTTAGATGCCTTGTGATACTTTTACTCTATACTTATTTTGCAATGTTACAACACGAACTAAACGGCTAAGGGTTCCTCCCTTTTTGAGCCTGTGCCCCAGCATATGAAAGGGCGCATTCAAAACTGCTTTTGCCGTTTCTACAATCACCTCAACAATTGCACGGTCTCCCACGTCTACCCACGCAGAGTGACTGTGCCACCTTAACTACCTACAGCCACGAGTGCCGTACCAAACATGGCAACCCACAATTAAAGAATAGTGATGCTGGCTCCCCCTTTTACCCAATAGCTCAATGGTGCATCATTTACCGAAAATGCAGGACAAGCACATTTCTATACTCCTTCACCTCCTAGAAGAGTTCCTAAGTCCTTGCAGTTCCCATGTCCTTTTGTCACGCTTTAGAGGACGTGGTCTGTCAAGTGTTCTCAGAGAATTCCTAATGAATCAGGCCGTATATAAAACAAATTAAGAAAGAGGTACCTGCACTTGGCATAGTTTAATTACACTAATGGAAAATTCAACAGGGCTGCTTTTGTGCGTTCCATTGGAATTCCAGCTGATCTGCTATTTTCAAACACATTTCATCCAGATTAGATTGGGAGAAAGAGCAAAAAAGATTCATCCTTTATTAAACAAAAAAGATAATGCTTGCTCGCCACTTTCTACGATAATAAAAATTAAGGATCTGAATAATGAATCGTGAATTACATAGTCGTTTCAACATGTGCAGCAGGGATTAAACTTAGTTGCAAAGCACCATGTCACAATGGTCAAAAAGCAATTAAAACTGATTACTTAAATCAAGGTTTTCTGTCTGTTCACTTGAAAAATGATTTAATTTTTTTTTAAATTGCATTTATTTAAGTCTAACCACACAGGTTAATCACAGCATCATGAAAGATACTGATCACTGTCATAAAGGTGGCTGTTTTTTTTCCGTACCTTATCTTATTACATTTAAACAGCAAGACAAGCAGACAATACAGTACAAGACATAAGCAATCTGTCTGTTTTGCCTCAAATCCTTTGGCTCAACATAGAAGGTGTTTTCAATCCCGGCACCTCAATATTTTCCGGGTAGGTAAAACCACATAACTTTTCAGACAGCTCAGGAGCGGCAAGCAGAGCCACTACCGGATCCAGTCAGTATCTGGTAAGTGGAACAACCTTTTGGAGATGTTAGCAGCCAGCACCATTTAAAAGCATTCTGGCGTTTCTTTAACTTGCTGCTCAGTACTCGGTACTGCAAAATCAAAGTTGTGTAATAGGCTTAAGCCCCAGCCCCCTACTCACACTAACTTAATCGTATGTGCTCTTGAAAAGCAGCTCACAATCTGCAGAGTGAAAGAGTCCACACTTTCTAAGAGTATCCACCTGTCTCTCTGTCCTTTGGTATGCCCTGAATGTGCTACTTAGAAATGAGCCATCACTTTGCTCACGAACAAGAGGAATAGATTTTTCTGAAACTAACATACCTGCGCTGGCTGTGGAATTAATGTATGTGGAACCTCACTCCTGATTTCATTATCACCCAGTCACTCTCCTTCTATTACAACTAATGTATTTGCTGTCTTGGTGACCAGCTGGCAGAGAGGACATTTTCACAGGAGCTTGCTGATCCTCAAGGGACCAGGGATGATCAACAGTTCTGACTATTCTGCTGTAACTTTTCCCATTGCAAATGGAGAAAACACCCTCCACCTCCTATACTAAACAGTATGAATTACCACTTGTTGGATTTCCTGCAGAACTATTATATCTTTGTTGTCCTGTTTTCTTCTGAATCAAATAATTGTTTACAAACTGATGGCATCTTAACATATCACTAGTTCCTTATAATTCATCCACACCTCCTAAAGACTATTAGAAACATCTGAGCACAGAGTAACACGAGGTGTTTTTATTTTATGCATAAACTACTAAAATAGATGTCCCATGAAAAATGTTATTTGACTGTCAGCAAAATTATGCCCTGTCTTTTCTCAGGTGAAGCCATATGGTTGTTATTTAGTTTGTTTTTCAGGCTAACATATTATTAGCGGAAATGCTACTATGACAAAGAAGCACTTCTCTGCACTCAATTTGTTTATGGTCTCACTTCTTCACAATTGAGACAGAAAGGACACTACTCACTCTGCACATCTTGGAAAGCTTTGAGATATTCTACAGTGAGAAGTGGCTGAGGCATCTCTCGGATGAAGAGTTTTAAAAGACTTGCTGCATCATGTTGCTTTACATTTTCCCAGTTGAAAGTCCCTTCATAAAATTTTGCTTCCAGTTCTTGGCAAAGACTCTGAAAGGCAACAAGCACAGAGAGCAGCAATAACACTTGGCTGCTGTAAGTTATGTATTATAAACATAGCAAAACTTTCCATGCTTCGGGGATCAGAAGCCCCGAAAGCAAACAAACAGTAATAGGCAGCAGACTGCCAAATCACATAGGAAGAAATCCTGTGGGCCTGCCTCGGGGCCATATGGAAGATTCTATAAGAGCCAGATATCATACGCATTGACATAAGGGAAATGGTTTCCCCCTCCCCGCAAATATTAAGATGTGGCTCTTACACTCAGCAATTCTGAAACTGCATACCAGAGGGTGTTGCTGTAATGCATGTTTTTTTTCATAAACAAATATGGCAACTATGCATGCTGACACTTGGTTTCCTATCAAAACATACACTAAGGCAAGGCTGGTTCTCTTCTTAAAATACAGGGAAAAGATTTGAGGTGATTGCATAGCTGGGTGTCTTGCCATCTGTAGAGAACCTCATGCCTTTGGACACACATAGCTTTGCCTAGCACTCGATCTCAAACATGCCCTCCGCAGAAGGGGACTGTGTTGCAAACCAAGAGGTTAAGCCCTCTTCGGTTCCCTTCTTTTTGCCTCAGTTCTTCCAGACAGAAAGCGAGGACAGAAACACCTTCTTGCTTTGCAAAGTGCATGAGACAAAGCGATAAAGAATACTATGGAAAAAATTGGCCATAATTATTTATCTGGACAGGAAGGGCACATGGGATAAAAAAATACTAGATACATTTTTAAGAAAAAAATTAATTTCGTCTAAATGGAAAATGGATCTGTGCTTTCAAAAGAAAATGTAGATACTTAAATTAAGTGCTATAGACTGAAATAAAAGTTGGATATTCCTAGCTGTCTGCCAGAGAAATCTGCTGTCTCCACTGATTATCCAAGAGGTTCACAGGCACTAAGATCCTAACTCAGATGTCTAAAGTCAAGTGGTGTGATTTCCTGCAGATCAACAAAAACAAGCTTTAGAAATAAATATGAGAATTTTCCCTCACAGCCTCACCAGCTCCTCTATCCACATTCAAGCTAAATCACTCTGGCAAATGTAGTATTAAACAACTAGAAAAAATGAATTATTTTATCTGAGAGGCAAGAGCAAAAACATCAGCTATGCATCCTAATGGACTAATGTTTAGATTTTAAAGTAAATATATATATTTTGGGGTGTTATAGATATGCAATACATTTTTTTAAATTAGTCTGAAATCTATACAAAAAGATACCAAAATATTTTATTTTGTGGAGGTTATCTATGCCATTCTAATAAAATTATTTAAGAAGGAAAATATTTTCTTCTAGTATAGGAGAAAAAAAGTTCAAGAAAATTCGAGAAACCATTTAGAGAAAAATCATCAGTCTTAAATATTCTAAATGCTGTGATTTTCCATAAAGTTGGCATTAAAATAAGTACATGAACTTTACATCTTAGCTAACAAAGCAATTGCTTAATTTGAAGAAGAAGCTCCTGCAAATGAATAGGCAAAAAATTAATGAAAGTCAAATAGTGAGTGATCTCCTGCCTGGAAAATTGTATTAAACAAATAAAATTAAAGAATAAACAAATAAAATCATTCCAGTATGCAGAACTGATGAAAAGTGGAAAATAAAGAATGGAGGAAAACTATAAAAAAAAAAAAATCTTAGTTACGGGTGAATAAACAAAGCCAGTTTCCATAATATTCCTTTCTTTCAGTTGTTTCTAATGAACCAGCTGCTGGACAAAGTTCTACATGACGGAGGCTGGCAGACATCTTCGGACAGCTGAATCCACTTAAATGGTCCTTTCTGTTTAGAATTTAAGGCCAGTTCAGACCATCTTTTTAACGCATTGACTCTTGGTGTGAATCATACTGTGTATTTAGTTTGCTGCATTAAGGCAAATACTGGGGAAGAGTCTGCATGCAATTGGCACTCACTCTGCTAAGTGTCAGTGCGAACAGACATGCCTAACAAGATTGTGCTTAGCGAGCTGGGTAGTTATATTGCTGTTCATAAAAATAAATGTGAGAGGTTCTTCAGTGCATGCTGGCTGCCTTGCCCTGTAACACATGTGAAGTCTAGCCATTAAAATAGGCTCATGATGCCAGAGAAGAGCTTCCTTCAAGGGTAGAAACGCTATGTATGAACTGCTGGTTCAGGGAAAAAAACAAGAGGCTGGAAAGCTCGTGCCAAGAATTAATGAGATTTTGGCACAGCTGAATTTAAAACATAGCCTTGACTCAGCTTCAAACTTGAACTCCAGTCTTCTCCTTAAAACTACATTGGATGAAATCATCAGCCTCCTGGCTAACGTAACTCAATTTTCTTTGTAAAAATATTTTGCTTTTTGTTTTTAAAGATTTTAATAACAACCTGGCATTAAAATGTATTTCCAAGACAAAAATAAAGGCAGCAAGTGCAGATAAGCTTTTGGGGGTGTTGACAATCTGTGCAATATTTTACCTTTACTCTTGCTGCAACTCCTGGTATCCTAAGCAGTCCTTCCGTTTCCAGTGTTGCCTCTTCGATCTGGGAAATCAGCTGTTAAAAATAAACCAAGCTACTTGAAAAAGATGCTAATTAAAAATTACTGCTTGATAGTTCTAATACAGTGGAGCCTTTATTTATGTATGGGTTGGCACACACACATAAACACATGGTTTACAAGTGGATTACTGTTGTAGATGTAGAAGAAACCTTTAATCCTTTATTTGAAAATTATTTAAAAAAGAGTTTTATTAAAAAAGAAAACTGCAATGTCTAGACCACCTCCAGAGATAGGGAAGCAGTTTATTTCTATAACTACTCCAACTTAAAAAATAAATCCCAACTACTATCTTGTTAAAATGGGATTCAAACTAATTAAGGTAAAATAAAGATACAGTACTAACTTTCTCACAAATACTCTTCTTTACAACTTTACCAGAGAAGACCTAAGTACACTTAGCCTTTAAAGAGGCTCAGTTGTGCAAATACTGGCATCCTCCTAACAAACTCATCAGTTTGCAATCCTATGCACAGCTTAAATTAGTACAAATTCTGTAAAATCACTTAAAGTACGTATCATGAACTGTGTTTTTCTAAAAGGTAAGTGTAGAAGTATTCACTAAAGGACGAACCTAAAAGTGTTCCAAAGAAATTCTGTAAATGTGAACTGCTGAGGGCGTCATTTTAGCACAAAGGGATACTTACAGCATTTAACTAGGATGGTGCCTCTGTTACACACCTTCCTGTGCCAGCTCCGGTGTAAGAAAAATAACGTAGCAAAAGTTGCGCTTTCTGCGGCCACAGGAATTAAAGGGAGTTACCTATCACTGTATTTACGTAACTCATACACATCACAGAAGGCTCATATAGAAAAAGCCACAAAGCTGGCACACCCCACAGAAGCTGTTACCCTGGTGTATTTTCCTCATCTGTCAGGCACAAAGACACTGCAGGAACGTCCTACCTTTGGCTACCATCCTCACACCTGTGGGGAGCTGAGGTCTGGTGGTGCTACAGCTGGCCCCGCATGACTCCTTCGTGCACGCGCACAACCGAGCGCCCCCTTGGCAGGCAGCCAGAGGTGGCCGCTGGCCACCACCAGCCTCCTGCCTACAGGAAATTCCCTCTTCGACTATTTTAAGCCTGCTCCGCGCTTGTTTCATTAGCAGGCCAAAGACCTGAATGACTATCAGCACAAACCTCCTGTGGAGATCTATGGATCTGTGTTATCCTCTGACTGCTGACGCACACTTTTGTTGTTTTTAAAGACAGAGGAGACTCTTAGGGGCACCTAATAGTCTGCAGGACTGCATGTGTAGGATCTCATTCCACTTCGAATGAAGCTCACAACTTCTGCTTGGAAGATTAGCTACCCTTTTAAAAGACGGCCTGTCTTAAACTGAGAGAAAATGAGGGAGAATCCACCAAATCCTGATAGATCTATGGGATAAGACAATATCAGAGCAAAATGTACAGTTTGAGAGTGTACTGCAGGATTCAGATTTCCCAGTCAGAAATCCCATAGGCTCTGTTGTGTCACCATTTTTAACCATAACTCCTCAATGACATAAAAACTTTCGTTTAATTTCTTTTAATTTAAGCAGCCTTCCTATTAGCTTGGTTTGTTTCATGTCAGTGATATGTAAGCTATATTTAACAGCAGTTTCCACAAAAATGTTCTTCCTTGCACTTTATATAAATTCCCTCTTCTTTGAAAGTGTTTGCTGCAGAGAAGATGCTGAAGAAATAGGGAACCTTTTTATTTTTATTTTCTCGTTTAAAGAAAAGCTATATTCCAAATGACATCTGTGCCTTGCAAAAACAAATTACATATATGAGCTGGAAATGTTCACGCAGAATTTTCTTCCTGGAAAACTATGCTTACCATGTTGCTAGTATATCACAGTGCTCAATCATTTTCGGTCATTTGATTTCTTTTAGTCTGGATACCATCTTTCCTAGAAATGTATTTTTATGGTCCCGAGACAGTTATCCAGCCTGATGCCCACTCCCTAGCCACTTGCCTCTTGGCCCAAATCACCTCTGAGAACAGAAAACGGCTTCCTAGAAAGCTAAGTCAAGCTGCCGGCCACGGACTGAGGATTTCTACAGAACTTCAAGTATTCGTTCTGAAAGACAAAGCACAGTCCTCTAGATGAAGAAAGTTACACCACTCGTGTGAAATGGAACTGGCTGCAGGGTGTTCTTATACTAACAGTAAGAATTCTAATTCTACAAGAATTCTTATACTGATCGTATAGAAACTGTAAAGTTTCACAGGCTTATTAATAAGCTTGCCTAAATCACGGTTTACTTCACACATCTTACTGACATGTTTTTCTGGTATCTTTCACTCAATATCCCTAACTGCTCTGGCCCTGGAGCACATCAGTTCAGAACACCTACAAAGTAGAGACCAGTTAGAACAAAAAACAAACCCTATTCATTCACCCCAAAATATCTCTGATACAAAGTATCAGACTTATTGAATTAATAAACAAAGGGGCAAAAAATTGCTACAATAGCTTTCATTAGAGTAATATACCTTAGGTTCCCTTAAAGTAAATACAGTGAAAGTTTTGTTAGAGGGAACAAATAAATTCAGGACAAAACATTATTTGTTTCTCATCTGCAGGTACATAGCAAGTTGACTTGTTTGTGCCTATTTACCTTTTGAAAAATCAGTGGGGTCTTGGTGCCTGGCACCTTCTTCTGATCCTGCTCCAGCAAAACTGAGAGTGGGACACCAAACAAGCCAGATTCTGAAGAATAAAGCAAAAGAAACCAGGGTATTATCCACATCTGTTCCAATACATGAGCTAATGGCATAAAAACACATTTTTGAAACGATAAGCCTATTCAATACATTCAGAGCTATTGACCTTTTGTTCAAAGTATCTGAATGTCTTCGTCAATCAAGTCATTAAACAAAGCATTTTGGCTGAAAGGATTCATTCTTCTCTTCCTTCAGCCATAAATCAGAAGTCTTCTGTTTCAATTTCAGATTGCCATCCACATATTCTGCAGTACAGTGAAGCAAATTGCATAAATGAACCATCTGCATGAGTCTGGTTTGTTGAACGGCTGTGATGATGACCCTGCAATATACATCTTCATCACTCAGAGCAAGTCCTTATAGTTAATATGCAAAAGGCATGGGTAAAATAACCAGAAAATTGGCTACTAAAATGAAGTAGATATAATTATCATCCAGATTTACTCTCAATACTTGTCTCCATGAGTGTTTTGAAAGAAGAGCTTTTCAACTTTTCTTGTGCTTTTCAACCTTTCTTGTCTTGCAGCAGAACAACAAGATAGCATCTTGCCAAAGGTACTTATTTTTTAAAGGAGAGCAAAAGTACAGTAAGTCCTGGCTAGAAAATGGCCTTTACCATACTGCAAAGGAACGCAAATAATAAAAAATAAAAAGGAATCTAGTCGTAAGTAATCTAGCTTTGATGCAAAACCTTTTGAAGTAAATGGGACTCCCATGTGTTTATGCCCCAGTTGAACAGAAATGTACGGCTTTTGAAAGAGGCCTATACTAGCAACTCCTAATATTAAGTTTGCTGCCCTCTGTTGAACACCTCTATCACAAGTACTGATAATGGCTGTACACGCAATTTTTCTGAAACAGCATATAACACTACAAGTAGCTAAAAACTCCTGCTCGGTATACTGCCACGCCAGTATCAGAAAAGCTGCAAATACCAAAAAGATGTCAGCCTTTGAGAGAATGTGAGATATGTCAAAGAAACATCAGTTTAAGTGCCAGTTCAGGCAGTTCTTGCATCTCTTTATCAGAATAAAAAGTCTACCTACAAAATATGTAGAGGCCCTTATAAACGCTCAATAACTCTATCTCATAGTTTTATCATCTTGAAGATCCTGTCAATAGCGAAAGTTTCAGTTGAGGTGAAGCCGGAGAAACAAACTGTAGGAGGCCAATATAAAGACCGATCTGGCAACAGCACATCATTCCACAGAAGAATTATATTTTCATTACCTTTATCTACTCAAGCACAAAGGGGAACAGCCAATAGATCCACTACTATATGAATTACTTGGCTAAACAGCAAGCACCTCATGAGTGAAGAGGAGTGGGTCTGGCAGAGCAATAGGGTACTGAAGCCATTATGTTACAAAACCAGTTTTATTAGGGAGAGAGGTTGACATATGATTATCTTTTTCCTACATATTTCCATCAGTCTAGTTCATCTTTTTGGATTTGGTGGAAAAAGGGAGTTTTTAACCAATATAATAGTCTCCATGACCACCTATTGTTTAAAAAAATAATCTTATGAGCGAAGCTCAATTAAAAATAAGATTTAGAAGAATAAGAAGAATCAATTAAAACTAAGATACAAAGACCAAGAGAATAAAATGTTTTGCTGCTTCACTATGTATTAGTGAAAGCACAAGCACTTCTGCAAGATGAAAACGCATTTACGGGATCAAGGCCTTGTAGATGTTTCTGTGTTTATTTTTTGCATTTAAGAAGCTATTTTCTACTACTGCGGAGTGAAGAGCGTATTCTCAAGAATCTATTGTACCTTGCTGCTCTCAGCCCTCTCTGTTGTTTTCAATTATTTAGAGTGAGCTATTGCACTGTCACACTCACTGAACCTTGACAACAGGGTTTTGGCCAAAGTAGGCTTGCGATTAACTGGTAACACATTTCAAGCTCGTGTAAAACATTTAGCAGAAGCCAGAAATACACAAAACAACTGAAACCTCTAGCATCTTGAGATCAGTTTCCATGTACCCTACATTCCTAAGGAAAGCACTGGGATTCTATATATGCTCCAGCGGCTTGCAGAGAGTGCCTGCTGTAACAACACTCTCTGCAAAAGCCCAAATCTTCCACTCACTGTGATGCCACTCAGCATAGAAACTGCATTGTGGGCAAGGGCTATGTATGTGACACAGGAAAATTAGTTCTATTCAGAACAAGAAAACAGGTGGCAAAGGTTCCCGGCATCCCAGCCAAGGGCAGGTAGAAGCGGCACAGTACCTACCATCAGCAGAGCAGGGAGAGAATACCCACACAGCACATGCATGAGCCCTCCTGGGGAATACAGGAGCGCCTACAAACTTCTGTGAAGCAATTCCTCCTGCACAGCATGCTACTAAGGTGAAGATCTCCCTTCCTCAGTCCTCAGGTTTTCTGCTCAGTGCCTGGCCTGAGTGCTGACTTTAGACAGAGAGCACGGTCCCGTAGCTGGAGTGACTACGTGCACGAATTTGACTAAAGCGTGCCCTGAGTAACATGTCACAATTAGGTGATGCCCAAAATCAGGACCTATACTACTATTTAGATACTTATATAAATCTTCTGCAGGAAAAATCATAAAGAAGTAGATACGTTTGTTTTATTAGGTTAAAACAGACACATTTGTTTTAGAATATGAAACTTTCCGACTCACCTTTGGTTTTGATTTTTGCAGCTTTCTGCTGCTTGAATTCTGTCCCCAGTATGTCATAGAGAGCAGTTAATTCAATCAGTGCTAAAGAATAGATTTTCTTCATATCCTGAGGGGCCAGGTCACCAATCTTTGTGGTGCCCGTTTTGTCCTTCGGCAGTCTGAAATTCTGAAAGCAGAGATTTGCAGCAGAGTGAATAATCCAGGTCGTACCAAATTACTTAGCTTGAAGGCTGTGCTCCTCTCAAGGCACAACCTTTCTAATGAAGCCGGCTGCTACCTGACTAAATCATGGGAGAACTCCCCAAACAATTTGAGAAGCAGATGATTTTAGAACCAGAGGAGGTTTTAGGTTCTTAGTGACTTCTGGAGGTAATCTAATCCAACCCCTATCTCAAAGCAAGGCTAATTTCAAAATTAGACCAGGTTGCCCACGGCCTTGTCCAACTGACCTTTGAAAACCTCCAATAACAGAGATTTCCCACTGTCTCTGGGATTCAGGTGCTTAACAATCTCACAAGGAATTTCTTTTCCCTTGCATACAAAGAGAATTTCCCTTGTTGCAAATTGTGTCCGTTGCCTCTTGTCTTTTTATTGTGCACCTCTAAGAAGAGCCTGGCTCTGTCTTCCTTGTAACTCCACCAATTTATAGTGGTGGAAATAGCTGTTCATGCACAATCATAAGCGCAAATAATTGGAAAAGAAACCCATACACATTTAGGCACACATTTGACTCCCATATAATGATTATGGATTATTTCTATTACAATAAATGCCCAGGAGCCCCTCTCAGGGACCAATGCAAGGAACTGCGGCAACCAGCAAAGATTCAAAAAAAAAAAAAAAGAGAGAGAGAGAGAGAGAGAGAGAGAGAGATTTTCCACCTCGCAGAACTTTTTACCTCCATCTCATTTAGTGGGCCTCTAAGGGCTCTTGCCCTCTTGCCTATGCCTCACACAAGCAGAATGCATGACTCAAAGCACGATGCAGAACAGTTGCCAACACATTTTCTCCATTTGGAAAGAACAAATATTATATTGTAGAATGATTTTCTCATCCTGTATATACCCAGCAATAGCACAGCTGAATTGTTAGCTGTGGTATATGGCTCCAATGGTACATATCTAAACTGTAAATAATATAACTTACAAACGGTAGCTATATCCATTTCCTGCCTTGAGGTTTCACTGACATGCATAAACCTATATATTTAAAAATAGCTGCTAGCGATGAAGGTACAACAAATACAAATTGGAGATTTAAATAGTTAACTCCCTTCCTTTGCCTAACATTCTGCTACTCCTTTCATTACTGAAAGAGAAATCTCATAGCCACTTCTTTCGGTAATCTTTCATAAGCCTACCTGAAAGTACAGCTAAAGCATGTAGCATGCATTAGGAAGGTATACAAAAGTAAGCTATAGTGTAGCCACTGTCTTCTTGTCCTAGGCTGTATTATTGAAATGAGACTCAAACATTTTAGCATTCATTTCTAAATATCCATTGGTGTATGGTTTATAATGTTTAAACTAGGATACCAAGGGGTAATCACTATTTGAAGGACTGCATATGTCCTTATCTAAATTAAGTGTTTGAAGAACTATGAAACATTATTACTTCAGATGCTAAGTTTACTCAGACATGTTTGCATATGCTGTTAGACAAAAGAAACGTTTTTCACATCAGTCATTAGTTTACAGCTCGTATGTGACTGCATGTTCATAAAGCGTTAGGCAGAGAGAGATCCTCAAGAGATGCTTAGCATCAATGACAAAACGCCTTGGAGGATCTTATTTTGTATTTATTTCAACTCTTTCTGAATGATCCTTTTTTATGAAGAGGTGGAACACACAATTTAGCACAAGCTAATCCTTAACTTTCAGCCCCTCACTTCAGACTTTTACAACTCTTTCTATTCTTCCTTTTCCTCTCTCGTCTATCTGCACTGCATAACTGCATAAGATTTCTACAAACGTCCATCAGTCCTTTCCAAATGAGGACAGAGATTTCTATTACAGCAGTAAAGCATCTCACCTCAAATAAGGGGAAAAGAGGCTGTGAAAAAATGAAGTAAGGACACAGCTTGTGTAAAATTACCAACAATTCCATTTTCTCTAGATGAGGGTCTGTTCCAGTAAACATAAACTGAACTTTCTGAACTGCAATGAAAGCCACTACCACTAAGCCACTCTCCCTGATTCATATTAATAGTCCACTACTACTCATACATAAAGGGCATTTTGCCAGAAAGACAATGATAAATAGTCACGAAAGTACTATTTCCATGCAACTGAGAACAGAATTCTGAAATAGGAATTATCTTGAGAAGGTCTATGCCCATGAAGTTGGACCCTTCTAAACCTAATTCAACCAATATCAGACAAATATCATCGAACAGTTCCGTTACTAGAAACAAATAATAATAGCAATAAATAGGCAATACATACAGGAAGAAGACTGCCATCCCCTGCACCCTTGCACATTTTGCCTACTGAGCTGTCTTTGAAAATAGCTGCCTGCTCTGAAAATGATATCTCCAAATTGATGGCAGTTTCAGAAAGCCACGTATCTTCAAGTGGGCTCGTCTGTTCATCAATCCCAAGAGTGAACTTCAGACCTGAAAACAAAGAGGAAAAAATAATAATCAACAGTAGGACTGTTAAATATCACTCAGCACATGCCAGTAAGTATTTAAAACCAGGCAGAAGTTAATCCTGTGCAAGCAATGGACCACCTGGTTGCAAATTCATTATGTCAGTTGAAAATGCAGCTCCTTGCAGGGCTCCATCTCTTGTAGATATTCTAGAATAATTCTGCCGGGCATGGAGTTTTCTATTTATCTATCATGGAAAAGACGAAACAATCCATCTCAAACAAACAACAGATTACCAGGATCTTCCAGAGCCAAACAGCTCTGACATGAGAAGCTTCCTACCCTCAGAAACTTTCTAGCCTCAAGGACTGTAACATCCTGCAACCAAACCAGCATTTCCTTCTGCAGCCATAATTTCAAAATCAAACCAATATGCTTACTGTAGGACCCAAAGAAATTACAGCTGGGAATAATGGGGACTAGACAGATCACGTCCTAGTCCTGACATTCCTGTACTCTCCTCAATCTGAAGAGCTGAGATTTTATCAAAACCGTTTGGACATGCTTCCATGATACAGAGAAGGATGAAGTACACAAGGGCCTTACTTCTCTTTCTTTGTTCCTTATACAGGCAAATACTAGATAAATTTAGAATACTTTGTTTTAAAGAAAGGGGAGGCGAAAGAAAAAGGAGGGAGAGACAGTTCTGCTTTTAGAGAAAGAAGAAGTCTACTTTCATAGGAAGTCAACCACTGATTTTTAACTTCACTTATGTGAAGTTAAAACACATCAGGAAAGAAGCAAGAGGAAAGTTATTCTATATTGTAAATACAACATGATGCAATATAAAGCATCAGAGAGAACTTAGCCGGAGAAAGATTCTGACATTGCCACCATTACTTGTGATATGGTACTTTTAAAAGGACACAGCCTGGACTAGGTTCCACGTAAGAGACGTGGATAATACCTTGCAAGGCTCTGTTATGAAATTCAGACTTCCCTTAAACCACGGCAAACATACATAAATCAATCCTGCTCATTTCACTGGGGCCACGATTCTGCAACTGCCTCCTACTCACAGGAGGCTGCAACCTGTTCACAGATAACATATAAGAAGTGCAGAAAAAGTGCGATGGAAAGGGACACGAGTTAAGGAGGAGAATCACAAAGCAGTGCATATGCTTCTATACATGAATATCAGGTAACACAATAGATGACTTCATTTTTACCACCGTGGGAAATTTTGTATGCCTTGGAATAACCACGCTGTACAGCTAACCCAAGTCAGAAGAGTTTCCCAGAAAACAGTTACAGCAACATCCGACCCTGAAGCAGAGCAAAGGCTGCAGATAATCTGACCAAGAGAAAAGGCACCAAGGAAGTGCTGCTGTACACCGATAGCTTCAATGACCTGCAAAAAGCTGAGCTGCAAACATGCAACCCAAGCAACATGTGAAGTATCAAGTTAAAAAAAAAACAAAACAGATCAACTTGAAAATTTTTATTTTAAAATAATTACATAATAAAACAGGAATTGTCACGAATTTAGGGTGAGTCCTGAAAATTAACTCAGACAATCAGGGCCAAACTCAGGGGTTCTGATGTATCATATGAAAATGGATCCAACCACCAACAGCCATTTTCTAGTAGGCCACAATGTTTAGTGTAAACACTGTCACTTCAGTTCAGCTGATCTGAAGCTGAGACAGCTCCAGAAAGAGAAGGTGAATTTGAGTTAACACTTTGACTCCACTTACAACTAAACAAAGCTATGAGAAGCAGAATAAAGCAATTCCAAATTTTACATTTTCAGTGTGTTAGTCACCACTCCCTCTTCAGAGTAGCTTCTGCTCAATTTCGACAGAACCTGGAAGACTTTCTGGGGCACACACTAAAGGTTAAGCCGATCCTGAAACTAGAGCTGCTGCTGTCACTAAAGAGATATATGACGCCTCAGTATCCAAACATACCCAAGGTCAAATTCATCCCCAACTCAGATCTTTGGCCTCCATATGAGTATATGCATATACATCATTTAAATTGTTTCATGCATCTTAACTTAAGGAAAACTCCTCCTCCCTCCCAAAAGATTTTTGTCCTGCTAATGTGGCCTACAGGTGACCTGAGTACTTCATGCCAGAGCGGGATGGAACTGATGTTAACAAACAATAAAGCAGTAGCTCCTATTTCAGTCTTCCGGTCTTACTAAGGTACCATTTAAAGCCTCGGTAATCATACACACATTTAAAAAGTCTGCAAATGCTGCTGTTTTGCAGAGTTTCTTTCTGATTGTAAAGCCTTGTTCCTATTGTTGTGCATTTATTAACTATAGGAAGCAGCCGTAAAAGGAAACAGATTTGGTTTTCTGTCACCCTGCCAATTCCATGCAATATCTCACAAGTGAAATACGTGTGATGCGGAAAATGCAAATTTTGGCTACTAATAATGATGTAGAAATCATATTTTAAATTAGTCCTGTATGCTTTCCTTGGTTCACGCTGCTGTTTAATGAGCACATAAAACGATGGGAATTGTTCAGCAGTGGGGTGGAGGGTTAGGTTTTCGATTTCTTTTTAATATGACACGCAAATATCAGAAGTATCAACCTTGCTATCTCCTTATTTTACTAGAGAATCCACAGCATACCCCATGGACTTATACTGATGGATCTCAATTTATAATTTGAGAAAGTGGAGTGGCTGATTTTTTTCTTCTTTTAACTGGCAAAACATTTCTCTAAAATGCTAATTTATTGCTGACTCTAAATAGAAAATAAAAAAGTTTGTCATCATTTCACTAATACTCTGTCATTCCAGCCGTACATTCCTTATTTATCATATAAAATGAAAAGCAGAAATAAACTCCTTAATTAAAAAAAAAAATCACTCATTTCAGTCTTTTTTCCCTATTAATAAGCAAACAACAATACAGCTCTTTTCCCTTGTGTTACACACAGTAGGCTCTATTCTTTCATTCATTTGCCAGATCATTATGCTTTGAGGTTGCCCTTAAACAGAGATTTTATCTAACACTCTTCCCTTATAGCTAATCATTTATGTTTAGAAAGACAACTGCAGCCCTAAACTAAACTCACTTTTGCTTCTCACCTACTCAAGCTAATTGCTATTTAGCTTTCCATCTGCTTTATTCTTTGCTTTTCACTTCCTGAGATGTCTCATCCATATTGATATTTACTCCACTTCATAGGCATCTAAAGAGATTTTTTTTCTCTTTTTACCTGTTGAACATATTGCTAGCTTTGTGGGATTTTAGTGAGTATTAGGGATAGTTAAAATGATAACATATTTTGAAAGCTCAATATATGATACTGAATTTTGTTTTGTTTACTGTAGACACACTCAACAATACAACATATAACAATACTATATACAACAAATAATCGCTTTAAAGCACTGTGTAAGAGGCCTTCCAAAAAATTACACATGCCTCTATTACCAACAGAAGTGAAAGAGGTAGGAACTTATTCAACTGTTCTGTCTGATCAGGACCAGGCAGAAAAGTATAAAAGCGTGATGTTTTCATAGTATTCCCTGAGTTTTCTTAGATATATTCAGAGGTCAAAGAAGGTGGGCTAGGTTAGCAAGAAAGGAGGAGCAAGCACAGCCCATGTGTGCTCTGAGGACAAACTACCATCATCCTCTGTTTGGCCGAAGCACTGGAGAATGCCACATTCAAATACCAAATTAGGAATAAAGTCATCGTCTGCGGAGAAGGGCCAGACAGATTCAGTAGTAATACTCTAGCAGTTTTAAGATACACAAGTTTTGAAAACTTCGTTATCTCAATTTAAGCTTTGGATGTTTTTTTCCTTCAATGTCCGAGAAGATATTCACATTTTTCAGGGAAAACTGCTACTACATCTTTGTCAAAAGAGCTTCAATTTTAAAATAATGCTTTTGGATTGGTCTTCATAGCTATTTAATATCTCTGAAATAGCAGGCATTGTTTACTTTTTCCCTTAAATTCATCCACTGTTTGTATAACACAAATTAGCTCATTATTCTGGAGGAAAGATTACAGCACAGCACTGAAACAGGTGCGGTACTTTTAACACGACTGAACTGGGATGTTTGCCTACAAATTGACCTAATTTTTCTTCTTGCTCTAATCTGGGGAGCAGAGCCCACTTTAGCATGTTGACAGGAGCGGAAGAGTACCAGGATGTGAGTAGGCTGCATTTGCGATCCACATCCCAATCTGTGCTGTGGAGAGCTAGCATATGGAGTTTGCCTTTCAGAGTTTCCAATTTCTAAAGGGTTCATCAGGGCCACTGGAAAAAAAAAAGAACCAGATGTGATAAAAACTCTGTAATAATTGCTTGGTAATTTTCCAGCTCCGAATCCTACAGCGCAGTTTATTGATACAAGCACCAGGCATCTCTTCCTTCCCTTGTGCTGAACCAGCAGTTTGGCAGTCCTCCCAATTTTTTTTACTGTTCTTATTTGAGTGAGGTTTGCTGAGGGCAAAAAAGGGAAGGATTAATAGCACTTCTGCAAATGCACAGATTTGGTGATATTCAGGGCTGTTTTATCTTCTCTCTCACTTCAGCTTCCACGCACAACTTGTGTTGTTTGCTGCTGTTTTCTAATTCCAATCCTCAAGTAATCATTTATCTGGAATATTACAGGTTGATGTTCTAAAATTACAGCAGAAGTTTATTTGATGGCTTAATTATGGATAAGTGAACTTATAGTATGGAACTTAATTGATCTATATGCCTGACTATTTCAGTGTTTGTAGGGTTCAGTTTAACAATTAGGTGCTATGCAGCCTCCTAAAAGAAAAGACATAAAGGCAATGCAGAAACTCAATGCAGTATTTACACCAAATCTTAAAGCTTACATGGCTGCCAGTAACATCTTGATTACATTTCACAGCATGTGAGAGTTACAGGGATGGGTATGATGGTATAGCAGATACTGCAATCCCTGCTTCCAAGAAAGAGAAGGTATTGCAGGGTAGCCACCTTTTTATTATTGGCACTGAAGAAGAGCAGAGAGCTTTGCCAGTCTTTCATCAAAATCTATACTCTCGTAACAGAAGCCATGGATTCAGCCAATGGCTTCTGTTGTGATCTGCCCTATGTAGGAGTGAGAGAGCGGCTGAAGCTCTCCTGGTCATCTTTGGAGATTACACCTCTCCTTGCACACTGCTGAACACAACCAGTCCTCCATACGTGGAATGCCACTTCCTTTCCATTTTCCTGATGAGGGTAAGCAACTTATTTTTTCTTCCAATGATCTTTTTCTTTCATTTTGAGCTGCAGATATATATCCAATTCTTGCCTTTTCTGTATGTTAATAGTACATTCGCTTTTGTTTTCTTGTATGCACTGATCAGCTTATCTACAGTGCTTCATTTCCTACACTGTACAGTGGAGATAAACCCGAAGGGATAAATTAAGAGGAAAGACCTAAGCATAAGCTATGAGAGGAGACCTCTCCCAGATGACTTGATTATAAGATGATCACTGGTAACAAATAAGATTTACCAGATAGCTCAGAGGACACTATCTATAACCCCACTTAAAAACTTTACAAGTGTTCAATAATGCGGGCTAGAACAGTTTTTTTCATATGATTTCTATTTTCCTTTGCCAAAAAATTATTTGAAATGTGGACCTCTGTAGCAGACTCTGAAGTTGAAAGCCTACGAACAACAAAAGAAAAAAAGCAAGAGAGCTGTTTAGCATTACCTTTTGCTTCATCTTGTGTTTCATTTTTGTTTTCACATGTTCTCACAGTTGAGGGTTCACGTCCATCACAGACCTAAGACACAAACAAAAAATATGCATGCCTACAAAAAGCAAAAGCATGGTTGTAGAAATTCCTTTGACTCTTAACTGTGCAGGATTAAAACACATACTTCTGAAATCCAGGCGTATACAGAAGTCCACCTGTGTGCTGTCAGCTGCTGGACTGCGGTTTCAATAGAAATCCCTTTGCCAAAGTCTAAAGGGATCTGAAATCTAAGTAATTAAAAAATAAGCAATTAAGTCTATTCCCTGTCTTCCCAAAAGGACAGGTGTGTATAAGACTTACATTTCCAGTAACAAATAAGAAAGTGTAGTCTTTGACTCGGAGCCACAGTTTAAACTGGAAAGGATATGAAACGGGAATCTGGAAGAGACATTTTGACTGACTCAGTCCAAATTCCTTCCTCTTGCAAACTGTAACATGGCTGATTCCCCCTAGAGAACAATCCCAGCCCTTTTGCAGGCAGCCTGACATTAATATTTTTGCTTCCAGCTTAGATTCCCAACAGCAAAATTATCCCACTTGAAAGAGACAACAAAACAGGAAAGGATCTGCACCTCCTTCTCCTTCCTACAGGGCCAACAGATCAACCCTGTATGAGCCAGCTCAAAACATAACCATGTACAATCCTGAGTTTATCAACAAAATACAAGCCCAACCACAACCCAGTTTCAAGATTTCTTGCATTTCGAGAGCTGTATTACACCTATTATAGTTAAAATATTTCAGAACCTATAGAAAACCTTACTACAGATATGCCCATGTACTTTTCCATCCATGTTATTATTTTTTATCATCTTTTTAACACCTCAGATCAACAATGACTGGATTTCTAATGACATTTTAATCAAACACTGTAAAACCCCTACTTATTGAGAAGATGAATTTGAGTTATAAAGTTTTCTCCTACCAACACAAATCTGTATAATCTTGGTCTTAATCAGAGATCTTAAGAGGTGGAAGTGAAGAGCCTGACTGCTCAAAAAATCGTTAGTGTTCCACAGAGCAAAGATAGAAGTTTACTGCGAAATTGTCAGGGCACCAAAAGTCTCACTTTTTTGGGCGAATATAGCAGGAAATTTAGGAGAAAGATAACACAATACTGCCTATTGTTTTACCTTTCCTCCTGCTGTCCCCCAGGTGAAGGGAGGTTACAGGATTTTCAGAGGCTATTATTAAACTGGGATGACTTCATACAGCTGCAGATGGCTTCAGTCTTCTTTTGTTACAGAAAAAGTTTTCTAGTGATGGGACAGTAACAAAACACTGACACAAGTTACCTAGGGAGGTGGTGGGATCCACTGCATTCCTGGCTTTCTGTAACAAACTAGACAAATAACCAGCAGCAATGATTTCAGAAGAATTATCTTGCTTTGGAGAAAGGAATGAAGTCTAGGTTTGCGCTATTTTATTTCAGTCAAGTAGACTGGTTTAGAAAGATTCTTTTTCTCACTTATTACTATATTTAATCAATATCCTGGCCTTCTCTTTTGTACATGTTACATAATGACAATCATTCCTCTGTTCACATTACCTCTCCCTGATGTCATCAATATTAAAGCGCGTCATTTAGAAGAAACAGCAGTTTACCGAATACTGCAACATATAATTTTCAAAAATTACAATGTGTAGCTTAAATACAGAAACATGAGTATTTTCTGTACTTTGCTGAAATAATATATTTGAACGGGAAATTATTCTGCTTTAAACTACATGATATATTACCTAAATTATTCTACTATTAGATCTTGTAATTTTTAGGTGCAGTCAATTCCAAAACAGACCCCAGAAAGCTTTTATGGAGCTAATATCTGTAACCATATGTAAAGCAGAACACCGAGAGGAAAATTTTGCTTCCAAAATATGTATTTGAGCCTACAAACCTCCCACACTCAATTTCTCCTCTACTGAATTTGAAAGGAGCTGCCCAGGCAGAGGAAGCAGTTGGGGAAGGAAGGAAATCAGCTCTTCCCAAAATTCTCCATGCTTCCACTGCCACCACAATCACACTGAATAGCACCAGCAACAACAACTAGGAATGAAGTTGAAATATGGTAAGGTAGCCGTGTACTACAGATTAGTTCCTTCTTGCAGCTGAAGATCTGTTTGCTTTTGGGGAAGAATGATGACACACACTTCTCCAAAGAGGAGGAATTCTAATTATAGACTCTGTTTCCCTCCTTCCCTTCTCCGTGTATGGGACCGAAACTCTTCTTTTTTTTTTTTCCAATACCTCAGGAGAGGAAATACGGACCCTTTCAGGACCTGTCAGAGCAACTGGCCACACACAATTTCATGAAACACACAGGTACAGGGGTTTTAACTCCCAGCTAGAAGGCATAAAAATCTAGTCCAAAAAAAAAAAAAGAGGCTAGATTGATGTCCTTTAAAAATATATATATAACAGCACCATTAAGTAAAAGGTATTGCCCCTTATGCGACAGACTGTTCCCTGAGAATGACCACAGGGTATTACTACCTAAAGAGAAAAGCAGGCATTTGGTCACTCTTTGGGTGTTTGTTGCCCTGATTTTTGTGTCCGCATTGAAATAAAATCAGATCAGTATCTTGACCATGGAGTGGTTGTTTTATTCATCACTCTTGAGTAGCAGGAGGCCAGCATACATACTCCTTTCTACGCACCAATAGTGCTTAATGCAATGTCAGCCCTGGAGCAATGCTATTCTCATGATTTCAATTAAAAATACCATTGGAAATCAGCAAAAAAGTAAGAAACAAATCTTCTGGAAACATCCCTTTTGTCCTCTGCCTCCCTCTCTTCTCTCCTACCTCCCACTCCTTCGTATCCCTCTCCTCCCTCTGCCAGAACCCAACAAAATGACAGCCAGCAACTTACTCTTCCCTTTGAGTCACTTTGTAGCCTGAAGATATCTCTGACATCAGGTATCTGGTATTGTTTGTTTTTTTTCCTCATGGTTTGTGTGACAGTCTCTACTCGCTTCTCGACTGCTGCCTTCTGGGTTCGGGTCAACGTTGACAGAAACACCATACTTTCTAGGGAGTCACCAGTACTCTCACCAAACAGATTTGACAGACCGGCCTCTTTCAGCCATTCTTCTTCCAGTTCCCCCTCTGAGCAAGGAAAAGAGAAAAGAGCATAAATATCACTTTTGGGTATTTTCTTTTAAGCATGCCAGATGAGAATGACATGGCATAGTTAATGTGGTTCACAGGGAAAGGTCTATGGGGATCCATGATTAAGAGCAATTATTTGCATTATCATGACTTGGAAAAAAGAGCTATTGTTTCTAAAGAGCTTGAAAAGGGTTAATATATGATATCAAAGCTTTTAAAATAGTTAATCCATTACAGATTGCTATAGGGCAATCTTTATAATAATCTACAGCACATCTGTTAAGTCATATACCGTTTTATAAATGTAGCCTAGCTATAAATGTGCATGAGGAAGTCTGAAAGCCTCTGATCATTGCTGCTTCATTGATTTTTAGTTCAGTCCTCAATCTTTTTAGCTCCTATACTGACATGGGTTCTGCCCAGTTTTCTTGACACATTAATCCTTCAGCTCTCCACTAGCTCAATTTGATGAAGGACAAACCAGTCTTCAGGAGTCACCTTAATGCTATTTTTTAATCAGTTCTTATGACATGGTCTCCAGACTGCTGACAGTCCACAAAACGATTGTTGCTTTAGTCTTATAGCTGATAAAGTATCCTTTATCGACAGATCACTGCACATGAAAGAGGAAAAGGCTATTAAATATTGCCACTGATGGCAAAACTTCTGCTTCTGAAATCACTATCCATCTAATCATACTTTCTTTGCAATACTGCCACAAAGTTCTGATGGGTAGCAGTCTGGGTTGTGCTGACTGCCGACACCTCTCAGCAAATAAAAAAGAAAACAGTGGCTTTTGGAGTGAAGAGCCTGAACAGCAGGATCAGTGAGCTGGAGGAAGAGAAAGAGGTTCACATACTGCACAAAGGCTGGCTTTGCTGCCCAGAAAAGTGCCCTGTAGCTCCGTCAGGTGGCCGGCTCACAGGGCACGCTGGCTCTGAGCCTTCCTACTTTCTCCAGAGGCCGTGGTGCTACCTTCTTCAGGATATTCGTAAATAATGCTGCTATTTCAAAGCATCTAGGGAGTCAGAAGAACAAATCCCTTTGAAAGTTAATAAATCTCCTCACTGACATAGTGGCTATACTAAAACGCAAAGCTCACTGTTTTAACTTACTATTCTCTTCAGGACTGTGGGCCTCTCATAAGAATCTGAGAGAGGAAGATACTGTACTGCTAAAAATGAACTTTTCAGAGAACAGTCAAATTAAGAACATTATTTCTCTTTTGACTGATAGGACATTAAAAACAAAGAAATTGCCTGCTTCCGGTAAGCTCATGCCCTCAGGAGTGACCCATACTTGATGCTTCAGAGAAACAGAAATAATGCAACAAACCAACCCCAACAGTTACGGTTATAAGTCCAGAAGTTACTTACTAAGCTTAAATATAGTTAATCATTGACTTGTCTTCTAAATCATGAGGTTTCTATCCACAATAGCTACAATAACAAATTACTTACACAAAGGAACGAAAGGGTCTGTCAGTTTAACAGTAAACTGCAAATAAAGTTTAGGCTGCTATAATTTGCAAATACAGATCCCTTTCGGATTTTCTACAAATATCATTTAAAGAAACACTATTTTTTTTTCTCCAATACAATTCTCTTCCAGTGCACCGCCCGTTTCTGGTGATGTGTATCAGAGACAAGTGAATTTTCGATAGTCAGTTTTCAATACAGTAACCTCCTTCCTGATTTAAGTGTGTTTGCTGGGTGCCATCTCTTGAAATAAGACTTAAAGTAAATCCCTGAAGCAGCAAACTGGTGTTCGTTCACAACAATGGATTTCATTACCATCTGGCTCTTTCACCACAAGTGCTTCCTGTTCCTCATGATTATTTCCCCTGGTTTCATGGATATTCTCTAGTTCTTTCCAGTAGTCATCCATAGACAATTCATCCAAGGAGTCCTGGGAACCTGAACGATCAAATGGTGCTCCATCAGGGGTCTTCTTGGAATTTTCATGGTTCATTGTATACTGGCCAGACCTGCGGCTATACATACAAAACGAAAATCAATTCTTGGTTAGTATTTTAAAATATAGGCCACAGTGATATCTGTGAAGGGAGTTAACGATGAAAACAGTATTAAAGCAAGCTACTGTCAAAATGCAAACCAAGATACTCAAAATAATTTTTAATACTTGGAACGTATTTTAAATTTAACATTTCTGCTATACATACCTCCCAATCTGGAACAGCACAGGAGTCTGTGTTAAAGAGGAAATAGCTATTCCAAGTTCTACTAATCCTAGTTATATTAGATCTTTAATTCAACTCAACTAACTTCATGGTAGATCTCTTCCCAGCATTACTATTCACAAAGAAATTTTGAAATTTCAATATTTTCTGCTTGAATAAATTCTAATAGCTTGACACTACTCAAAATCTCTGCTTTGCTTTTCTGCTTCTTTTGTTTTTATAAAGTTATGTCTGATATCCATGACCTTACAGCCGGGAAAGGACACAGCAGAATTACTAAAGGTATAGTTTGTAATACAAATAGTTGAGTCTAAACGTTTAATAAAAGTTATTTGTTTCTTTCTATGTTGCTTCCTCTTTGATGGAACGCTTATCACTTTTATAGTTTGATGTTACTATTTTTAGTATACTCTAGCCAATGTATTTTGCTAAGGCTTTCAAATCTCATCTTAGGTACAGCTTCAACTAGAAAAAAGAAACCAACAAGCTGATACCCCTGAGGCTAATCTTGACCTTACGAAGGCAAAATTACCACTGACTTAGCAAAGATTTCATCTTTAAAAGTGCAAAGTTTATTATGATGTCACTTAAGTTACCAGTCATCCTTACAGTCGATTATGCCAAATCAAATGCCTCAAACTGATTCACAGTTTCAGAAGGAGGAGGCATTACATGAATACCAACCTGATCTAACTTTGAAGTTGGTCCCTACTTTGACCAGGGGACAGGTTAGACAAGACGACCTCCAGAGGTCTTTTCTAAACTAACTTATTCTACTATTACGCCAGTATACTCAAAATTCTTCTTTATATTAAAAAAATAGTAAGTTCTTAACATTTCAGGAACAGCTTCAGCTGTCTCTTACGCCTGAATTTGTCTCTGTAGCTAAAAAAAGGAGGCATAGTTTGGGATTAACTAATAAATATCACTTATCGTGAGAGAAAGAACACAGCAAAGATCAAGCATTGTGGCTTTATCGCAATGTAAACCCAGTAATAAAGTCAGTCTTACCTTCCCATTTGGCTGACTTCACAAGTTTATCTGGAGTTAAAATAAAAGCAGCTAGTCCTCACATTTTATCTTGGGACAACTGACGCTTGTTGGTTACCCCAAAGTGAAAAAGCCATACCTTTCTCCCTGAAGATAAGCCCCTGGTGTGTACAAGTCACAAATCCTTTCACACTATATGTGCTTGAGTTTCTGATAAGAAATACTAACTATACGGACTTTGCCTTTAAAGGTAAAGAGCCTGGTAAAGAGCCTTATGGAAGGACTACTAGTTCCCACCCATCCTGCCTCTCTGCTCCAGGTTCAAGTTAATAAATGACAATGAATTCCCAATCTAATATGCACCCCAACACTGTTCTGAAACCTCTCCTTACTTGAAGGTTCAGTGAAAAAACAGAAAGGAGTGTTTGAGTGATAATGAGCTCTTACTGGTAGCATGTGTTACCTAATAAATACAATTTCTCCTTGAAAAAATCCCTACAGACATGCTCCGTTTGTGACCACCTTGAATCCACCACTAACTGTTGCAGAAAGATGCTCACGGAGCAGCACGAGAAACCTCCTCGAAAGGTGAAGTGGCAAGCAGCAACCAAGCAGCATTGGCCTCAGGAAGCGGGTCGGACTTGCCTTGCTCCCTTCCTCGTACGGCTCCAGGTGCTCAAAGCAGCCTGAATCTCTTCTTAGAAGCAGACTGTACACTTGAACTGCGCAGGTAGTGAGGTCAGATTTCAGCTTATTATCCTTCCGTTTAGGCACGTGAAGCCGCGCACCCATTTTGCAGTGGCCTTTCACCTTTGGAACTCCCTGCTCTGGCCGACCCGCCGGAGCTGAAATTTAACCGTCACGGCGCAGCGCGCAAACGAGAAATGCAACACGCCAAATCAGTGAAATGCATCCACTTTTGGCGGAGTGGGGGGGGCCCTCTGGCAAATTTACGGGGAGTATTTTGCGGCAGATAGCTGTTCCATGCCACACTTCCAAGGGAATGCTCATCCTGCTTTTCCAAAAAAAAAAAAGGAAACCCCTTACGTTCCCCAGATTAAGGGCACAGAAGTCTGTGTCTGGAAATGGTACACCCGATATTTGGCAGAAAGCGCTCAAGCCCATTTTCAGGGGCTATATATTAAAAATATTCTATTAATTCTCAAGAAACTGCACCCTTCAAGCACAGGTCACTCGCATGTGCTCAGAAAGCTGCCTCAAGGGGCACACTCCTGCTCATTGTTTCAATCAATGGGCCTGCTCTACCCGACCAAACATAAGCTACTACTCTTATAGCTACTTTCCTTCACAGCCTGACCCTTTCATATCTCATTTATGAATCAATACAGCAACTCCCACCTCTGAGCAAGCACCGATGCCACTACTCACTGGGAAAGACCACAGCAAGGAGCACACAATCAGGAAAACCACCCAAGAAATATTCATATAAAAACTTCATAACTCTCCTATGAATCTACTTTTAGGTTTGCTAAAAGCTATCAGACCTAGAGTCAACAGCAGTCTGGCTTTCCAAGAGCTGAGGCCACAGATGATCACACTGATCAAATTCACCTCATTGTTTCTTTGTATTCCCTTGTCGGGATCTGCTAATCTGCTCTCCCCAATTTTTCGTTAGATTGTAAACTCTTTCAAAGCCATCTTCCTGTTCTGCGTTTGTCCACATCCACAGTTATCATTTCTACAGGCAAGGACACAAATAGACCTTGCATGAGGAGAGAATAGCTGCTACAACTTCAGCCAACAGAACCGGTCAGGTCTGCACAATTCAGCCTTGTCCTTGTTTTCACTTCATTTACTTCCAGTTTCTTCCTTTGTATGCCCTATTAGAGTAGGGTGCCTGTGATGCAGCAGGATTTGCTGCATGAACTGTGCAGGAGCTATTCCGGGCATCCTCAGCTCTCTCTGCCCTACAAACCCCCATGCACACAGAGACACAAATGAGAAAGACAATTTGAGGATAACGAGGATAACCTTTATATCACTGCGTTGGTGCAGAGGAGAAAAGAAAAAGAATAAAAACAATGCACAACATGGGGGGAAAGGACTGACAATGAAGATTTTTATTTTTAGTTCTCTGTTGACAAGACTGAGAACATGGGTCTTCTCAAGTGATCTCCCACTAAATTCAAGCCCTTCCCAAAAAATATGTTTGCTAAGCACCAGTTGCAAGCCACAGAATAAAAATGCATAGCTGGGAACAAGCTAAGGTCAAGAAAAAAGAAGACAGGGGAAGGAGGCAAACAAACTAGCAGTCTTAGTAATAAAATCTTAAAGAATCTGTAAAAAGAGAGATGCTTTAAAAATAATTAATGACACATTCCAAATAAGACTCATTAAAAAATTAAACTTGAAAAAGGATCTCAAATATCCCGAGTGGCAAGCTTTTAAAAGTTTTCTAGACTGCTTTCCAAAAAAAACAGCACTAGGAAATAAGCACAGTCCACTACAAAAGACTGTTAATCTGGCTGCAGAAAACAGATTGCTTCTCCAGCACATTATTCATTTTTCAGGTGTTCAGTTTTTCTATCTAAAATTTCAAGAACACAGCTGCTTTCCATGAATATCTCCATTTCAAATAAACCCCTTTCCTTTCCCCAGAAAAAAACTAAACTATTGCTAACAAACACAATCACTTAAGAGTAATCTTGAAAGACTATTCACTTAGAATTCCTGATCACTAAGCAGGAAGTTTATTCTCCTGTAGTTTTTTTTTTCCCCCCTCAGAAAATCCTTATTTTCACTAAAGTCTTAGTTAACAACACTCTCAAACTCTCTCCATTAAACTCTTATTAACATCTATTTCTAATCATTAGTATGTAGTTTATTCTTCAAATAGCTTTATTTGAAGAATACAATACTCATATTTCCAAATTATACAGTCAGTTCTGACCTCTGATATTCAGACACATGCCCTTTCCATGCCTATGGGATTTTTGCCTATTTATCTCAGTCCAAAACTGAGCCCCCAGGCATAAAATCATTTATTCAATATAGTTAAACATTCCTTTATTGCAGTTTCTTAGCAGAGTCAACCTTCTTTCCCCACCCACTGGAGATGCACTTATTTATTAGAAACATCAGGGATGCAAGAAGAAGCACTCCAAATCTTCCAGAGGGGAGCCATTAAAAACAATTCTTGTAATGAACACCACACACACTATATACGTTGTAAAATTATGAGGATGCATCTCACAAGAAAATAAAACAGATTTGGACTATTTCATTAGGCACTGGTGAGCTCCGTGTTGTGGCAAGTACTTAAGGGAGAAGACAAATGTTTTGCTTTTCCTTTATTAGGCTTTTCCTTTTGCGACCAACAGTTTGCCTTTCTCAGCCTATAAGAAAATATGACCCACAACATTAATCACTGTTTTACACGGTCATAAAAAAGGGGCACTTTTTTCTTCAAGTTCTGTCAGCCTGATTTTCATCTCATCAACAGCCACTTTATATTAGTGCAGTTGCCTTTATTCCTTTTTTTTCCTATGAAATCTAAATCTTCTTGTCCGTTCCAGACAGTAAGAAATTGGTTACTTGACGTTAACCAGTTATTAAGGTGTTCTTTCACTGGCTTTGCAGATAAATTCATTTCACAGAAAACTAATTTGGCCCTCACTCCCATCTTGCTTCCTTAAGAAATAAGGATTACGTTGTCTGTTAAAACAGTGAACGATTAGAAAAAGGTAGCTTTTTCATTTCTATAGTACTAGCCACTAATCTTGGGTCTGAGTGTCATCTTCTTTTCCTGCATCCCCTATACAAACACAATAATTGTATGGTAT